CTGGGGAATTCTGGGAGTTGAAGTCCACTCATCTTAAAGTGGCCACATTTGGACAACACTGCTTTAGACACAGCCTCCAACTGTGTTATTTCCCATCTATATTTTTGCCTCTTGGAGAATGCCTGGGCTGTGGAGTTGCTTAGGTTTGACAGTCTTCAAGGTTGAAGCTTGTTCCCTAGTACCAGGGGGTAAAAATACCTGAGGGAGAGGATGGGTGCATCTTATAGAGTCACCGCATTATGGGACTGGGAGGTCAGCCTCTGGCTGAGTACCTTCAGTGAAAGGGAGCCCACCAGCTCCCTTTGTCATTGGTTTCACTGTCAAATGGCTCTTCCCCTTAGGAAGTTTTTTTATTTATTCATCGTATTTGTAGAGCTGCCCATCTCACCTAGTGACTCTGGGCGGCGTACGTAATAAAACAAAATACGTAAAAGTAAAATACATAAAAATCAGTAAAACCACAATTTAAATTAAGAATGAAAACAAAGTGAAAAACAAAATGGCAGCCAGCACACAGAGCGTACATCAGCTAAAAATCATATAACCATCCCACAGGCTCCACTCTACCATGGGATCCCCAAGCTCATTGACAAAACCATGTTTTGAGGGCCTTCCAGAACACCAACAGGGTTGGAGCCAGGCTCACCTTGCGGGAATGATGTTCCACAGGGTGGAGGCTACGGCAGGAAAGGCCTTCCTCCTAGGACCCGCCAGATGAAACTCCCTAGTGGACGGGACCCACAATATGCGTCGCCTGCCAGACCTGATGGGACAGGCAGATGTCACGGGGAGAGGCAGTCCTACACATAACCTGGTCTCATGCCATGTAGGGCTTTAAAGGTCCAAACCAGCACCACAAATTGGACCCAGAAGCAAACTGGTAACCAATGCAGCTCACGAAGCAGAGGTGTAATGTGTGCAGTTCTTCTAGCACACATAACTGCCCATGCCACCGCATTTTGCACCAGCTGAAGCTTCCAGATACTCTTCAAGGGCAGCCCCATGTAGAGCGTGTCACAGTGGTCCATCCAAGAGGTGACTGGGGCATGAGTGATTGTGAGTAGAGCTTCCCAAACTAGGAATGGGCGCAACTGGTGCACAGCATGAAGCTGTGCAAAGGCCCTTCTGGACACGCTGCCACCTGCTCTTCCAGCAGGAGTTGCGAGTCCAGAAGAACCCCCAAATTGCACACTGGGTCTGTTTGAGGTAGTGCAACCCCATCCAGGACCAAAGATGGTAAATCCCCAGATACAGAAGATCCCAAAACACAAATCCACTCAGTCTTACCAGGGTTTAGTTGAAGCCTGTTGTTCCCCATCCAGACCTTCACAGCCTCCAGGCACCAAGAAAGGACATCAACAGTATCACTTAACTCACCGGGGCAGAGATATACAACTGGGTGTCATCAGCATACTCATGATACCTCACCCCATGGTGACGGATGATCTGTCAGGCCTAGCCCAAGGAACTCCAAGAGACCATGCCAATTCAGTCCAGCTATGTTTAT